ATAGGGTGGATGGATGGTTGATAAATGAGCAGATGAACATTCTTTATTTTTCATTCTTCCTGCTGTGGATCTTCTCAGCTCTGGGAGACCTGTTATTATTATACTTATTCATCAACTTCATGTTGAATAAGATCAACCCCTTCAAAATTCATTTTTTTTAAGCAACAAATATTTTTAACTTGGTGCAGAAAAGGGATACAATTAACATATAAACATTTGTATTAGCATTCTGAAAAACTTTTAAGTTGACAAACACAGTAACACTTTGCGTTCCAATTGCACTACAAAATTCAATTTAATAACCCATAGCTTTTATAGCCAGTCGATATTTAAAAAAATAAACAGATCCGTGTTAGTAGAGAATGTCCTAACCAAATTGTGATGCTTTGTTTTTGGTGTTTTGTTTTGCTTTGTTTTTTTAAGAGATGGCATTTCACTCTGTCTCCCAGGCTGGAGTGCAGTGGCATGATCATAGCTCACTGCACCCTTTGACCTCTGAGGCTCAAGCGATCCCCCCACCTCTGCACCCCTCCACCCCTCTGAGTACCTGGGACTACAGGTGCATGCCACCATGCCCAGCTAATTATTTTATTTTATTTTTTATAGAGACAGAGTCTCGCTATGTTGCTCAGCCTGGTCACAAACTCCTGGTCTCAACTCCTGGCCTCAAATGAACCCTCTGTCTCGGCCTCCCAAAGCACTGGGATTACAGGGATGAGCCACCACACTTGGCCAAATTGTGGTGCTTTAAATGAAATAATGTGTTAATTGGAAAGTGAGGATGTGTTTGAATATCCTCTATGTTCTACATGCAAACAAGGTTATTTTAGATGATACATGATCATACCCTGATAGTATCACTCCACATGATATTTTTTAAATGGAATATGATAATCTTAGAAAAAATGGTTTCTTGATGTAGCTGTGAAGAGGCTGTGATATCATATCTAAATCACTTGCTTCAAAGGACATACTATGGGCAACAGACCTTTAGAATGACACGTCCCCAGTCATGCATATGTTAGATATAATAGAAAAAAAAAAGTTTTTTAAGATATGGGATATTAGAAAAATTTTGTTTTGTTTCTTGAAATTCTTTTAAAATTAATCTCACAACTCCAAATTGCCTCGCTTTTACTGACTTCTCTGAAACTGACTAATACCTAAATTTGGGGCCTCACATTCAGCTACTTTAAAGTTCTGCTAACATTTCCTTCCTAAAACCGTTTCCATTGATTTTTCCCCCTAGGGCTGATTTTCACTGGGCTACAGTGAAAAGTATTTGCTTCCTGGCTTGTCTCTGAAGTCCTTCATCCTTTGTTGTTAGTAAGCCTATCATTTTGTCTTGACTGTCTCATCATAGTCATTATATCCCATTCACCCATGTCTTTAAGGACTCCAACAATTTTGCCAAGTGTTCCTTGTAAACTTTGGTCACACATAACTCTTCAAGTGAAACATTTGGATCTGCCTTGAGAAAAAATAAAGTCGATAACCCTCTATGTCAAATCCAAAAGGATCCATGTACTTAAATTTTCCCTAAGTCAATCATTATTTCAAATCATCTCAGATATCATAATTATTTCAAATGTTTTTTGAGTAAATATGAAAGACTGAGACAGGAAAAATGTATCATTATTAAATAGCATTACATTAAATCATCTTGTCATTAAAACCATGGTACCAGCCTGAGCAACATGATGAAACCCTGTCTATACAAAAAGTACAAAAAAAATTAGCCAGGTGTGGTGGTGCACACCTGTGGTCCCAGCTACTCAGGAGGCTGAGGTGGGAGGATCACCTGAGCCTGGGAAGCAAAGGTTGCAGTAACCCAAAATCTCACCACTGCACTCCAGCCTGAGTGACAGAGTGACACCCTGTCTTAGGACAAAAAAAAAAAAAAAATCATGGCAAGAAAGCAGTGATCACAAACTGTAAAGTAAAGTCTTTCCGAGAAGTGGGACTGGGGTGAGGGAGAAGCAGTGCCTTGTACTTTGCTATTTACCTCGTATCCTCACATAAATTTCTTTCTTTTGATTTTTGACCTCCCAGAATCCCTTTTTAAAGGGGAGGGGGGCAGCATTATTATTTTCTCTTGCTGATTAGAAAATTGTAGTTTAGAAGATTCAAATCTAAATCTTCTGAGTTAATATTAAAAATCCTCGAACATTACAATTAGATTACCATGTTCTCTCACTTGAAAATGTGAAAAATGGGTGTTTTAAAATTTTTTAAATTAATTTCAGCTTTGGTATTTTGTTTTTGTTATTTGTTTTTACTTATTTTTCCCCTTTTTTCCCCTCTTGGATCACCTCTTGAAACCTTCTTTCCTCATCCCAGCTAGGCTGCTGCACCCTTTATGACTCAACGGTGCACTGTTAATAAACATTTACTGAGCCTCTAGCCCAGCAGGCACTGTGTTAAGGCTGTTCCTGCTCTCGAGGAACAGGTAACCCTGGGGGAGACACAGTACCCTAAGCACTTTAACTGAAGTCTCTGTAGATGTGGTTGCACAAAGGAAACCACTATGTTTATGGAAAATTTAAATTTGCAAAGAGCATTACTAGCTTTAAGAATGCTCCATGTCAGACAATTTCTATCAAAGCAAAGCAGAACTCTGAAATTTTTTTCTTGATATTAATTGTAAGTTCATACTTCATGAGTTCCTGCTTTCCTTTGCCTCTGCTATGCTCCTTAGTAACCTCCACTAGAGCTTCTCAAAAGATTGGAGGTCTCATCACTGAGGTCTCAGATCAAATGTCACCTTGAACATCTAAGCTCTTTCCTGACCACTGAAATGTGTGCATGCACAGCAAGTCCCCAAGTCACTTACTCCCTATTCTATTTTCATCATAGCCCTTATCACTATCTTACAATAGATTTGATATGTATTTTCAGTGTTTGTTTGTTTGTTTTTTGAGACGGAGTCTCACTCTGTTGCCCAGCCTGGACTGCAGTAACGTGATCTCAGCTCACTGCAACCTCCACCTCCTGGGCTCAAGTGATTCTCCTGCCTAACCTCCCAAATAGCTGGGATTACACCCAGCTAATTTTTGTATTTTTGGTAGAGATGGGGTTTTGCCAAGTTGGCCAGGCTTGTCTCAAACTCCTGACCTAGGTGATCCACCCACCTCAGCCTCCCAAAGTGCTGGGATTACAGGAATGAGCCACCGCGCCTGGCCAGTTTTTAGCCTTAATTTGGAGTTGACAATGGAACAGCCAATTGAATAGTTATCCAAAAAAAAAATAGCCTTAATAGTACTTTGCTTATGAAAACTCTACATTTCGGCTGGGCATGGTGGCTCACACCTATAATCCCAGCACTTTGGGAAGCCGGGGCGGATGGATTACCTGAGGCCAGGAATTTGAGACCAGCCTGGCCAACATGGTGAAACCCCATCTCTACTGAAAATACAAAAATTTAGCTGAGCATGGTGGCGATTGCCTGCAATCTCAGCTACTCAGGAGACTGAGGCAGGGGAATCACTTGAGCCTGAGAGGTAGAGGTTGCAGTGAGCTGAGATCTTGCCACTGCACTCCAGCCTGGGTGACAGAGTAGACTTTCTGAAAAAAGAAAAGAAAAGAAAAGAAAACTATACATTTTATTATTTTTATCCTGAAAATGCTCTGTAAAGGTGAGCAATCCTGTGCGGCAATTATTAGACCTATATTAGAAAAAAGAAGTGGTAGTGTACAAAGGGCAGGTTGTGTTCATATGGTCAAACAGGCGCTGTCCAGAATTTTTCCAAAGTGATGGAACAAATTTTATTGCTTTCAAGGTGCTATGAAAATTGAAGATAAATATATACAAATAAATATTTTCCTACTACAGATTCAGCTTTCCATTGTTCCCTTCTTGCTGAAATCAGATGCTTTCATCTGAATTTGAAGAGTGAATCTTATGTTGTTGGTAAAAGGAATAAAATTCTTCAGTTCAGCATCTAAACTCTGACATTGCAGTGGATCTTCTAATTCTATGATCATTTGTAATCATACACACTCTGCTTCAATGTAAAATTAGTCCATTCAGTCAACAAATATTTATAGACTTCCTACTATTTGCCAGGCACCATGTTAGATGCTTGGTGATTCAACAGTGAACAAAGCCAAGACCCTGACCTTGTGGAGCTTCCAACCGAATGAGACAGAAAGATATTAATCAGATAAGCACTAATATCTATCTACAAATGATAATTCCTGCTATATAAGGAACATGCTATGTGCCATGAGAACTTATGGGGGAAAGCCACGCTCATCTGGATTTGGAGAGGGCTTTCCAAATGAAGCAACATTCAAGTTGAAATGTGAAGTGATCAGTTGTTGACTAGGTGAAGATGGGAGTACAGAGAGGGGAAAGAGAGTATGTGTGTTTCAGAGAGTGAGAACAGCATGTACAAGAGTTGGGTAAGTTTGCCTTTGCAGCTTAGTGTTATGGCTTTAGGAAACATGTCTTTTGGAGTGCTGCATTGACTTTTGCTGCCAAATAGCTAAATATACTTGGGTTTATGATTATTTATAAAGCTATATTTCCAGCAGTTCATGTGTCATAAAGCATGGAAATTTGTCTTTTATTACCTAGTTACTGGCAAAATCAAAATGAAGCTTATGGCATACTAGATACTTTGTGCCAAAATTTCAAACTATTTCAAATTAATTTGGTCATTCCGACATTAGAAATGGAACACCATGAAACAAAGAAACTAAGCACAGAAAGCTAAATATCCAGAAAAACTTTAAATACTGTTAACCAGATGCTCTTTGTGTGAGCCAATTCCTTTTGAAAATGTCAATGAGGGCTTTCAACAGTTTTCCATTGTCATATCTGAATTGTGCATTCTTTTAGGGACAAAGGAGGAAAGGTTAACCAAATTCATAATTTATTAGCCTACTTTCCAGATATGCTAACTGGGTTCTGGTACACTGTACAGTTCTGACTTTTGATCACTTACCCAGTAAATAATGGAAAATACATGGCATGATTATTCTGCTACCTTCAACAGTTGTAAATCAAGATGGCCAGCCTCTCATCGAAGGAAAACTTAAAGAGAAGCAAGTCAGATGGAAGTTCATCAAAAGGTGGAAAACACGCTATTTTACACTGGCTGGAAATCAACTTCTGTTTCAAAAAGGAAAGTCTGTAAGTTCCTCCATCATCTTTTACACTTGCATTTTTAAGGTCTTGATCTCCACCAATAGCTAGACATTTTGTCTTAAGTTTAAACTCTGATACTTTTTCCATCTCCATTTCACCATCTTACAGCATTGTTTATATGTCTGTGTCTAGTCTGTTTGTTCCTATGTTAGTTGGTTCACTGTCCCCTTCCAGTTTATTATGGAAGCTTGTTTTAGTTGACTTTAGTTGTTTTAGTTGAACTGCAGAGGGACTACTAGGTCTTGACTCAGACACCGTGCCCTTTGTTTCCTTGTGGACCATGTACACAAATTCATGACTTATGATATTGGCTCTAATTTTTTATAAATATAGTTTATAATTGGAAGTGGGGGTCCAAAGGAGGACATAGGCAAGGAGGAAAGAATGGAGGCTGATTTACTTTGGGTACTTTTTATAGTCAACGAAGTTTAATTCTGATTAAAATATTACTGTCTTTCATCTATTTAATATTCAATTAATGAATATAGTAGAATTGTGATCAAACTAATAAATATTTAATATAATTTTCCATTTGAATAAGATGCTCAGTAATTATTTGTATTGTGAATTTTCAGTGGGAAATCTCTGAAGTAGCATTCTATTCCAATCAATAATGCAAAGTTATCCTCTTTTCAAATTGGTTCTATGTATCATTAAACTCTACTGATTCAGGATCAAGAGGAATCAAATCTTGACCTACTTCTTGAGTATTTTAAAAAATAATCATAATGACTAGCATTTTTTCAGTGCTTACTATGCAACACCTTGGATTGCCTCTAACAATCCTCAAAATAATCCTATTAGGCCACCACTGCTATTATTGCCATTTTACAGATGAGGAAACTGAGTCAAAGCACCTGATTGGATTGTCTAAGGACAAAGCTAATAAGGTGAGAAAGGATATAACTGAGGTCAAGATCAGGCAGTGTTTCACCAAAGCATGTTCTTAAATGAGTTTACTGCTTCCCATGTATACTTAAAATACAGAGCCAGTGGCAAACTGTACTCACCAGGGATCTCCACAGAAACAGAACCAATAGGATATATAAAGACATATAAGAGATTTACTGTGGGAATTGGCTCATGAAATTATGGGGAGTGAGAAGTTCCATGATATGCTGTGTGCAAGCTGGAGAACCAGGAAAACTGGTGGTGTAATTCAGTCTGTGTCCTAAGGCCAGAAAATTAAGGGAGTCAATGATATAACTCCCAGTCCAAGGCCAAAGGCCTGAGAACCTGGATATGGGGGTGAGCTGTGGGGAGGGATGTAAGTCCCAGAATCTGAAGGCCCCAAAACCAGGAGCTCTGATGTCCACAGGCAAGAGAGAATGCATGTCTCAGCTGAAGAAGAAAGAGCAAATTTATCTTTCCTCCAACTTTTTATTCTATCCAGATCCCCAATAGATTGGATGATGCCCACCCACAATGGTGAGTGTGGATCTTCTTCACTCAGTCCACTAATTCAAATGCCAGCCTCTTCCAGAAACACCTCACAGACACATACAGAAATAATGCTCTCCCAGCTGTCTGGGTACCCATTAGCCCAGTCAAGTTGACACATAAATTTAACCATCAAATAAACCAAACTGTCTGAATTAATTAATGAAAAGTGGTAAATTAGTTAAAAATTATAATTCATTCTGGGCCATATGCACTATATCTTTAGAGACCTCATTATAAAACTTACGTGAGGCCGGGCACGGTGGCTCATGCCTGTAATCCCAGCACTTTGGGAGGCCAAGGCTGGCGGATCACGAGGTCAGGAGATCGAGACCATCCTGGCTAACACAGTGAATCCCCGTCTCTACTAAAAATACAAAAAATTAGCCAGGCGTGGTGGCGGGCGCCTGTAGTCCCAGCTACTCAGGAGGCTGAGGCAGGAGAATGGCGGGAACCCGGGAGGCCGAGCTTGCAGTGAGCCGAGATTGTGCCACTGCACTCCAGCCTGGGCGACAGAGCGAGACTCCGTCTCAAAAAAAAAAAAAAAAAAGACTTACTTGAACATTTTAATCAACAGGAATCAAATATCATGTATTTGAATTATGGCAAATTCTGACCAGTGTTCTTTTAATTAATAAGACTTCTGTTAACTTTTTAGATGAAAAAAAAATTTTTTGTGATACCTACTGTGTACTCATGTTACTTTCCTCATCTGTGTGTATTATAACATATACAGATGGACTTTTCTGAGGCTGAACATCTTTTTGAAAGGGCAGTTCAATTTAGACAGCTATTGGAAATTTAAAGAAACTTTTTTTTAGCATGGGTTCACACTAAAGCATGTTTAAAGTGTTTAAAATGACTATCTGAATTTTCTGTTTTTATTCAAGAAATCAAGAATAGAAATGAAGATGTAGTAATTTTCCAGATCCCTTAAGACAAAGCAGAGTCAATCTATAAGAATGTTTTTCTGAACTCAAATAATGACCTTTATACTTTCTGATTCATGGCTTTTTAATAAGGTTTAAAGAAAACACAATTTTATAATTATTATAATAACTCGTTTGACATGTTTATCAGGAAATAATGGTCTGACATTCCATAACTCTGACAAAACTTGCAGCTCAAATAGTGGGAAATAATTTAATATAGCATGAAGGCCACAGCAAAATACTTCTAATCTCCAGGGAAACAATAACCTACCAGTGGTCAACAGTCCTGCTGAAGCTTCAGGTCCTTGTAAAAGGGCCCCTTTTAAATGAAAGAAATGTGCATTTTAAAATGAGAGCTGAGTTTGAAAGACTCTAATGGAAGACTCTAATCTTTCACTTTTGCGTTTTTAAGACCTTGATCTCTACCAACCAGCTAGGCAATAGTGTCCTTTGACTTTCTATTACTGTCTCAGTTGATTCACAGTCCATCTTTAAATTACTATGGTTACTTTTTATTTTCTTATCAATCTCTGTTCTATGCACTGCTTCAAAGAAAGGCAATTTTATTACTGTCAGATACTTACTGTAAACCAAATTAGGCTAGCAAAGTATTGTCTAGTGTGTATGTCTTCAAACTTTATCCTGTGTACCCTAAAAGAATTTTGAACAATCTATGTAATACCTTGCAACATTTTAAGTTGCAGCAACACTTTTAACATAAGTTTAACATTTACCCGGACTGTAATTTCTGTTGAATTGTAAATATTGACATTTTAAAACAAAAGGATTACATCTCTCCATTAAATGTAACCACTGGATTAAAATACCATAGCAGTTTAACACCTAACACTATTTTTTAATACATAAATTAACTCTTTTTTATATAGAAATGTCCACATTGTTTCTCTTTTTCTTTGTTTTGAAATCATGTTTCTGTTCTACCTCGATCACAGCATTTTATCCTGAATGGCATTTCATTTTTCACTGAGTAAAACTGTATGTATAAATTGAAATTTGATTGTTTGAATTTATTGTGACCATCCGTCTCCAAGTGTAATTTTTTCTGACTCAGTTATCTTTTCAAAAAGGGATATCCTTCATGAAAATACCTAAGTATAATGCCAAGCTTAATAATTATTAAACATTAAAAATTGAAATATTATTGAAAATGCACCTCATAATGAAATAGATGAAGAGTGATTGCATTGCCTTGGCTGATGGATACTTCCCTGATGTCAATAGTTGGAATTGCTTTTTTATTTGGTGTTTCTGAGATTTTTTTTTTACATTGGACAAAACATCATAGAAACTATGGGATGAGTGAAGAGGTTGCTTTTTCATTGCAAAGTAAAAGGAGGGTGATGGCAACAGGAGAGGTGGGCAAGGAGAATTGGCAAACTTCTCAACCACAGGTACTTTCTTTAGTAGACAAAATGTATTCATATTAAAGACCTGAAATTGCTTCAAAGAAATATCTGACCCCTTAAAATTATTCGTCTTAGCCCAGGTGATGACCTTGGTATTGTAGAGATCCTTAAATTTTTGCTTTAATAAAAGGTGAATGTAATATCATTAAATATTCCTTCCCTTACTGTTTGTAGACAAGGCATGCTTCCAAAGCTGCAGAGAGTTTCAAAAACAGTTTGGTCTATGGGAACACTGGAAACCTCTCTATTCAATTAAGGTTTGGCAAAATCTTTCTCAGAGGTAACACAAAGGAAAATTAAATTTCATGCCTCCCAAACTACCCGAAATTATAAGTTAATAGCACTCCAAATTGTACCATTGCACCTTGCTCTATTAATATAACGTTAATAGAAAATGAAAGAACTCTGAATTTTTCCCAAATCCCGCTTTATAATAATATTCTATAAATTAGTTATCTTGTGTCAACTTATGATACTCTAACAAAGGCCCGATTGCGCACTCCTTCATTCTAATGATTCTGAGGCCTTAGCACCCAAAATATCAAAGGTCTTGAGCTATAAAAAGTGAAAGGATTCTGGCCTTCTTAGAAAATTCTCCAGTAGCCAGAGATCTTTGCCTACAGTAACAGCCAGCCCATATTCTTTTCTTCCCATGCCTTTCAGAAAGATGACCCTGACGACTGCCCAATAGAACTCAGCAAAGTACAGAGTGTGAAAGCTGTGGCCAAGAAACGCAGGGACCGCTCTCTCCCCCGGGCTTTCGAAATCTTCACAGACAATAAAACCTATGTCTTTAAGGCCAAGGATGAGAAGAATGCAGAAGAATGGCTCCAGTGCATCAATGTGGCAGTTGCCCAAGCCAAAGAGAGGGAAAGTAGAGAAGTAACCACATATCTGTAGGGATTTACAAGTCAGCCATGACAACTACACACCACAGGCATTGTATTATCAATGCCAATGTCAAGAAAAAGAGCTAAATTTACCAAGCCATGTTGTTTTTTACTAAATACCAATGGAATTCTTGTCCTTTAAGAAGAAGGGCCTAAAATGGCAGGATTCTTAGTAAATGTCATACTCTAACAGCTTTAGTATTGACTTCAGAATATATCTGATGCCTACAAAAATAAAATAAAATAAAAGGAGCTAGAGAGTATGCCCTCAGACAGTGTGGGGCCAGGAAGGGAAAAGTCACTGATAAAAGAACCTCTGTAGATATGTCATTTAAAACTATGAGAAAACAGCATGAAAAGATGCCTGAACTATCCGTCTTGAGGAAAGATTAGCACTTCTGATGAAAATCACAGTCTGTCAAAGGTATTAAAAGAAAAATTTAAAAAAAAACCGTTAGAAACATTGAACTAATGTACACTGAGAAAAACCATATAACTTACTTATAGACATATAATTACATGATCCTCTCTTACTACAAATGAGGCTAACACATGGCAAAATGGTTCTCAAGTCAGTTATGTCATTAAATACTTCTCTTTCAGAATTATTTAATTATTCCCTTTAAGTTCATTTTATATAATCTACAGTTTAGATGCTTGGACATATATCCTGCCCAAGGCACTAAGTGTAATATAGAAAAAGGATAGAAAGTCATTTTCTCTATCTTCAAAATAATGTGCCATCTCCATTAAAATTAAGACTTTAAAGTTCTATAATTTTTTCTTTGTATTCAACCTTTTAATACCTCCAAATTACAAATATCTATTTTTTCACTACATAGATATATAATTACACTATGATAGACAGAATGCTGGAGTGATTCTCAATGATCCATGCCTTGGTATAATCCTCTCCCCCACTGTGTGTTGGTGGGACATGTAACCTGCTTCTAACCAACAGAACATGGCAAAAGTGATGGGGTCATCTCTCCCATAATTATGTTACATTATATAGCAAAAGTGAAGAGAGGTTGCAGATATACATAAGGTTTCTAATCAGTTGACTTTGAGTTAATCAAAGAGACCCCCCTGGGTGGGCCTGACTTAATCAGACTAGTCCTTTAAAAGAGGGTAAACAAGTCAGAGACTCTCTCTCCTATTAGCCTTAAATAAGCCAGCTGCCATGAGCTCTACGGCTGGAAGGAAATGAGTTTTGTCAACAACCATGTGATCTTGGAAGAAGCATCTGAACCTCAGATAAAAGCCCAGCCCCAGCCAACACCTTGGTTGCAGCTTTGTGAAACTCCGAGCAGAGGACCCAGCTAAACCACGCTTGGACTCCTGACCCACAGAAACTTTAAGATAATAAATGTATGCTGTTTTAAATCTAAATTGTGGTGATTTGTTATGCGGTGATAACTAATACAAAAGCTAAGTTGGGCTACATACAAGGGATAACTTTTTCCTTGAAATTTATTTATTATGTTGTCTAGTATAGAAACCTAGAGAAATACTATGAATGGTCAACACCTTGACCCTCCTGCTAACTTACTAGGATAGGAAATATAAAAGAGACCATGTTTGCAAAAGGAAACAATTCCATTTTAACAAGTAAAGTTTGAGGGTATTGTGAGTCACAGAATTTATTACACATTGGAAATAGAGTTCTGGAGGTCGAAATTCAGGATCACTGGATGTATAGGTAGTCGCCAAAGATGCAAAATTAGATGAAATTACCCAGAGAGAATAACAACACAAAATAATTAATAAGGGTTCCTTGAGACACCAGCATTTAAGTAAAGGCAGTTGGTGTAGCTGATTAGTGTTCAGAGATGATGTAGACCAGGGGAAATGATGTCACAAAAGCCAAATTAATATGGATTTTTCAGGAAAAACAGACAGGGCAACAATTTGAAATCCTGAAGAGTAATCACTTAAGATAAAACCTGACTTTCACAATCAGGAAGCAATTGGTGTCATTGGTAAGAACAATTCCATTGGAGTGAGGGAGTAAACATTACATTTTAGTAGGCTGAAGAGTCAGTGGGAGGTTAGGAGTTTAAAGCAATAAGTGGACTATTTTTTCAACAAAATGGGGCTACGATGAAAGGGTTAAGATGGAGCAAGTATTTTCTTGCTCTTTTTAAGATGAGTAAGAAGGGAAAGATGAAGGAATTAAAAATACAGAAAGAAAGAGGAAAAAATTTACTTTGCTTGAGTAAAGTTTCTAGAAGTGATAGGAAAGGATTAAAACTCCTTTATTTTGCAGCCATTAACTGAGCACCTACTAAGCAACAGTTGTCATGTTTGGCCTGTAGATACAAAGATAAAAGACACAACTTTTCTCTTCAAGGGGTTTAAAGTTTAGTGAAAGAGACATACATATAACAGAAATGTAAGTACTACGTGGCAAGTGCCTTGATGAAGGTATGCACAGGGTCCTGGGGAAACACAAGAGAAGGCACCATTGTAAGCAACTTTAAACTCAGAATGGACTCCCTCACTTCTTCCCAGAGGTGATAGAAAATGAGCTAATCTCAAAGAACTAGTAGGATTGCTGTGGGCAAACAAGGAGCAAATGGTCAGTAGAGTGAACCACGCTGCAAATGCAAAAGAGGGAGAAGGAACATGGTCCATTTGCAAAACGTAAGTTTTTCCCTAGGGTTGAAACATAAGGGGTGTATCGAAAGTGGTTCAGAGTGATGCTGAAAAGGCCTGCAGAACCACAGGATGTAGGACTTGGTTCCAAGCCAAGGGTCTAAACTTTTGCCTTTACATGATGAGGCATTAATTTGTGTGGCAGCAATAAAGATAAAAAAGAAAAAAAAATTTAAATAAGATGATGAAGCATGATTAAAAAGTTTTGAGCAGATTTGCATTTAGAAAGATTATCTTAATAGTGGTAGAGAATGGATTATAAGAATATCAAAAATTGTAGCAGGGAGACCATTTGGGAGGCTCTTCTAAGGTAGTGAGGACCTGGACTCATGTAGTAACAAAGGAAATAGAGATAAATGAACAGGCAGGAAAAATACTGGTTTAGGAAAATGGACAGAACACTGGTGGATTGGATGGAGTTGGAGTATGGGAATGGAAGGGAAGGAGTTTCTACTGATCCCTAGGTGCTTGCTTGGGAAACTTGGTAGATGATGATGGTGATATTCACTGAAATAGAAAAATCAGAAGCAGCAGTTTGAGAGGTAAGGCAGATGGTAAATTTAATTTTGATGTATACATTCATGGTATATATAGGGGACTCACCTTGGATTAGATGGACAACTCCTGTGAAGTTGGGCAGGAAAAGGATGAGAAGGAGTATAGTTGTAAATGATTCTCTAAATATTCTTTTAAAACCTACCACCCCATTCTTAAGAGTCAGTGAATAACTCTGTTTTAGTCAATTAGGAACAACTGGTAACAGACAAACACTAACAAAGTATTAGGTGACGTTGCATTAGCTATTAACAATTTGAATGCCAACAGTGTGCTTAAACCTTTCATAGCAGAGAGCTTGTGGTAAAACAGTGGCTATGTTGAATGCTTGGCCTAAAAAAGAAGAGAATGGCCCCCTCAGCTCAATTTGTGGGGAAACAATTATTTTTACTACTTTCTACAAAGTCCTTGTGATTTAATTAACTGGATACCTCTAATCTAGAACATAACTCTCAGTGCCTTTGAGCCAGATCTTTAAAAAAAGTGACTGTGTGAAGTATAAATAATGAACTTTCTGGTTTCATTCCATGATGCAGTAATTCCAAATGTAAGTAAGTTCTCCTGGGTTCAGAATCACACTAGGAATTTCAGAATCATCAGCTTCCCGCGGATATTTCTGGCACTTCCACCCTGGTTGCTGGTGAGTTTACCACAGACCAGTCTTTCCCAAGAGGGCTGCCATTTCTGATCCTGACCTAAGAAGAAACCACTTTCCTAAACATGCTTAAACCTTTAAATATGTTGGTACGAATAAAATTATAATCATGGATAGAAAGTGAAGTGGTTTTCATTTTAATTTTTATTCTTTTTCCCTCCCAGATAGCATTGGAAATATAAATGTTTATGTATGAGAAGCTCATTGAGCTATTTCTCGAGAACCTGGAGTTTGGTAAAAACAAATATTCAATACTTTTCTAATACTGAGCTTTCTAGAAAATCCTTAGCTGGTGATGTCAAGGGGCATTTACTGAGTCATCTTCAACTCACCTAATTTCCGTAGGCACCCACAAACCTGTCTGTGGTGATGACTTTTTCTCAGACATAAATAAAGATTACATGTTTAAGGAAGGATTACCCACTTTAGGAAACAATTGTGAGATAAGGTGAGCGAATATGTGAGCTGAATTCAAAGTGCATTGCAGACAAATAAAGACCATGGTTTAAATGCCCTAATAAGGATTTCCAGTTCCCAAAACCTAAATTTTTAGAAGAGAAACCAAGAAAAAAACCAAACTGTCATCTTGTTTCAGAATAGCATCAGAGTATAGATCCCTTGGAACAAATCCTTCCCAAAGATGCTCCTGAAAGGCAAAGAGGTTGGAAAATTCAGAAGACGTCTACCAAGGTAGGGAAAGGGGCACAGGCTCTAGGCACGTGAAGAGTCAAGCCCTCTCTCTTTCAAAACTGGATTATCAGCCTGAGCCAGTTATTCATCTTTCATCCCTGGATTGGGGATAATACTATCCACAGAGTGGAACTGATGTGAGGCACACGTGTCTTGCAAAAGCATAAAACCTATAACCTTAACCAGCAGAGAACCTTTAACATAATAGGTGCTTGAAAAAGACACTCCAGTTTCTATGTACCATTAAGTAACTATGATGCCATGTCTTGATGATAATTATATGTTGATGTCTTCCTTTTTAAGCAAAACATTCAGCCGTTGCTTTGCAAGACCATATGGAACTGTGGTCACTTCAATGTTGGCTCTTTTGTTCACTAATACCGCATTTCATCCCACTCCTCTGCTTCTGTACTTTTCTGTGTACATGGTAACTTTTTGTTTCAAAGTCAAACCAAATTGTAACCTGTTTAAGACATAGTAAACAGCAATTAGCCCATGTACTGTCAACCATCCACATGTCTGAATGGATGTGACAACACAAAGAGCTAAGATAGCATTTGCACTTGCACGTCAATAGGCAATGACAGAAACCCCATCACAGCCATTCCCAGTGCATAACGATTGTAAAACATGTACTAATTTCAGAGATATTTAAGTGTGGGGGAAGAAAATGTAAAGCAGTTTGTAAAAGGAAGTATTAAGTGTTCCATACAGGTTTGTTTCACAGTAATCAAAACTGTGTGTTAATATTTTTGTGAACAGTAGAGCATATTGCAAATGTAAGAAATTTTAAAACATAATGGTTAAAATGCTCCCAATGCAGCCATCCTCAAAGGTATGAGGTCAGCTCTGCCTGTAGTTGCTTACCCTCTCTTTTGACAGGACTAAGGATGGCTGATGTCCACAAACAAGCCATGTTTCTGGTGTCTCTGTATCCCCCTACCAGTGCTCTCCTTTGTCCAAGTCCCCTTTCCTGAAAGAGAAGCTGGCTAAAGAATGGGCCAAGATGGCAGAGATGGAGGCAGAGTTGTACGTGGTGTGTCTTTTTATTTTTTCACTTTTATTTTAAGTTCAGGGGTACAAGTACAGTTTCATTACATAGGTGAACTTGTGTCATGGGGGATTTGTGGTACAGATTATTTCTTCAACCAGGTATTAAGCCTAGTACCCACTGGCTATTTTTCCTAATCCTCTCCCTCCTTCCACCCTCGACTCCCCAAAAGGCCCCACTGTGTGTTGTTCCTCTCTATGTGTCCATGCATTCTTATCATTTAGCTCCCACTTATAAAAGAGAACATGCAGTATTTGGTTTTCTGTTCCTGCAAAGTACATGATCTTGTTCTTTTTTGTGGCTGCATGGTATTCCATGAACCACATTTTCTTTACCCAGTCTGTCATTGATGGGCATTTAGATTGATTCCATGACTTTGCTATTGTAAATATTTCTGCAATGAACATACGTGTGCATGTATCTTTATAATAGAATGATTTATATTCCTTTGGGTATATACCCAGTAATGGGATTGCTAGGTCAAATGGTATTTCTGCCTCTAGGTCTTTGAGGAATCATTGCACTGTCTCCCACAATGGTTGAACTAATTTGCATTCCCACCAACAGTGTAAAAGTGTGCCTTTTTCTCCACAACCTCACTAGCATCTGTTGTTTTTTGACTTTTTAATAATAGCCACTCTGACTGGCGTGAGATGGTATCTCATTGTGGTTTTGTTTTGCATTTCTCTAATGATCAATGATCAGCTTTTTTTCATGAGTGTTGGCCACATGTATGTCTTCTTTTGAGAAGTGTCTGTTTATGTCCTTTACCCACTTTTTTAT